AATTGACAGATAAGGAAACCAAGGTCTACATAAGTTAAGCAGCTAGCGCTAGAACTAGATGTACAGATCCTCGTGGTTCCTAGTCCACTCTTCTTTCTACTGCTGATTCAGTAAAGGGTTATCTTATAAAAATGTTATAAATTTTATACAAGCAGCACTTAAATTATTTACATGTGGATGTAAAAAGGAGCCCTGGTGGCACAGTGGTTAAGACCCCGGCTGCTAACCAAGAGGTTGGCATTTTGAATGCACCAGCTGCCCCTTGGAAACCCTATGGGTCAGTTCTGCTCTGCCGTATATGGTCGCTATGAGTTGGAATTGATTCAGCGGCAATGGGTTTTTATGGGTTTGGATGTAAAACAGAGGGGCGATCTATGACATTTCCTTAGACCAAAGTTTCCTAAAAATCAAGTAAAAGTTTCACTGAAAAATAAGTTTGGGGAATTTTGAATTAAAGTTGAACAGTGCATTTACTGCAGGGTTTCTCAGAGTCATATGTTAAAGTGCACTGCAAATTTCCATTGTTGTTGTTGTTAGGTGCCGTCCAGTCAATTTGGACTCAAAGCGACCCTATGTACAACAGAAAAAAAACACTGTCTGGTCCTGGGCCATCCTCATGATCGTTGTTATGCTTGAGCCCATTGTTGCAGCCACTGTGTCAATATATCTTGTTGAAGGTCTTCCTCTTTTTCACTGACCCTCTACTTTACCACCCACATGTGTCTGTCACTTTGTTGTATGGTGGGGGCTTCTGTGCCCACCAGCATTCAAATACCAGCAGGGTCACCCTTGGTGGACAGGTTTCAGCTGATCTTCCAGACTAAGACAGACTAGGAAGAAGGAGCTGGCAGTCTACTTCTGAAAAAAATTAGCCAGTGAAAACCTTATGAGCAACAGTGGAACACTGTCTCATACAGTGCCAGAAGATGAGCCCCTCAGGTTGGAAGGCACTCAAAGAGGATTGGGGAAGAGCTGCTTCCTCAAAGTAGAGTCGACATTAATGACGTGGATGGAGTCAAGCTTTCGGGACCTTCGTTTGCTGATGTGGCACAACCAAAAATGAGAAGAAACAGCTGCAAACATCCATTAATAATCAGAACCTAGAATGTACGAAGTATGAATCTAGGAAAATTGGAAATCATCAAAAATGAAATGGAACCCATAAACAATTGATATCATAGGCACTAGTGAGCTGATATGTACTATTGGCCATTTTGAATCAGACAATCATACGGTCTACTATGCTGAGAATGACAAATTAAAGAGGAATGGCATCACATTCACTGTCAAAAAGAACATTTCAAGATCTACCCCGAAGTACAATGCTGTCAGTGATAGGATAATATCCACATGCCTACAAGGAAAACCAGTTAATACGACTGTTATCCAAATTTACACACCAACCACTAAGGCCAAAGATGAAGAAATTGAAGATTTTTTACCAACTTCTGCAGTCTGAAATTGATCAAACATGCAATCACGATGCATTGATAAATACTGGCGATTGGAATGCAAAAGTTGGAAACAAAGAAGAAGAACTGGTAGTTGGAAAATACAGCTTTGGTGATAGAAAAAATGCTGGAGATCACATAATAGAATTTTGAAAGACTAAAGACTTCTTAATTACAAATACCTTTTTCAACAACATAAATAGTGACTATGCACGTGGACCTCGCCAGATGGAATGCAAAGGAATCAAACTGGCTACATCTGTGAAAAGAGACGATGGAAAAGCTCAGTATCATTAGACAGAACAAGGCCAGGGGCCAAATGCAGAACAGACCATCAATTGCTCATCTGCAAGTTCAAGCTGAATCTGAAGAAAATTAGAACAAGTCCACGACAGCCAAAGCATGACCTTGAGTATATCTACCTGAACTTAGAGACCATCTCAAGAATAGATTTGGCGCATTGAACACTAACAACTGAAGACAACACGAGTTGTGGAATGACATCAAGGACATCATACATGGAGAAAGAAGTCATTAAAAAGACAAGAAAGAAAGAAAAGACCAAGATGGATGTCCGAAGAGAGTATGAAAGTTGCTCTTGAACATTCAGTAGCTAAAGCAAAAGGAAGAAATGATGAAGTCAAAGAGCTGAACAGAAGATTTCAAAGGGTGACTCGAGAAGACAATGTAGAGTATTATAATGAAATGTGCAAAGACCACAAAGGGGAAGAACATGCTTGGCATTTCTCAAGCTGAAAGAACTGAAGAAAAAATTCAAGCCTCGAGTTGCAATATTAAGGGAAAATACTAAACGATGCAGGAAGCATCAAAAGAAGATGGAAGGAATACACAGAGTCATTGTACAAAAAAACAAAAACAAAAAAACCTGGTTGACATTCAGCCATTTCAGGAGGTAGCATATGATCAAGAACCAATGGTACTGAAGGAGGAGGTCCAAGCTGCACTGAAAGCAATGGCAAAAAAACAAGCCTCCAGGAATTGACTGAATACCAATTGAGAAGTTTCAAAAAACGAATACAGTGCTGGAAGTGCTCACTTGTCTATGCCAAGAAATTTGGAAGAGAGCTACCTGGCCAACTGACCGGAAGAGATCCATATTTGTACCCATTTCAAAGAAAGGTGATCCAACAGAATGTGGAAATTATCAAACAATATCATTAATATCACACACAAGTAAAATTGTACTGAAAATCATTCAAAAGCAGCTGCAGCAGTACATGAACAGGGAACTACCAGAAATTCAAGCGGGATTCAGAAGAGGACGTGGAATCAGGGATAGCCATCTGATGTCAGATGGATCCTGGCTGAAAGCAGAGAATACCAGAAAGATGTTTACCTGTGTTTTATTGACTATGCAAAGGCATTCAACTGTGTGGATCATAACAAATTATTGATAACATTGCGAAAAATGGGAATTCCAGAACACTTAATTGTGCTCATGAGGAACCTGTACATAGCTTAAGAGGCAGTCGTTCCAACAGAACAAGGGGATACATTGTGGTTAAAGTCAGGAAAGGTATGCATCAGGGTTGTATCCTTTCACCATACTTATTCAATCTGTATGCTGAGCTAATAATCTGAGAAGCTGAACTATATGGAGAAGAACGGGGCAACAGGATTGGAAGAAGACTCATTAACAACCTGCAATATGCAAATGGCATAAACTTGCTTGCTGACAGCGAAGAGGAGTTGAAGCACTTACTGATGAAGATCAAAGACCACAGCCTTCGGTATGGATTACACCTGAACATAAAGAAAACAAAGATCCTCACAACTGGACCAATAAGCAACATCGTGATAACACTGAAGTTGTCAAGGATTTCATTCTACTTGGGTCCACAATTAATGCCCATGGAAGCAGCAGTCAAGAAATCAAATGACACATTGCATTGGGTAAATCTGCTGCAAAAGACCTCTTTAAAGTGTTAAAAAAGCAAAGATGGCACCTTGAAGACTAAGGTGCACGTGACCCAAGCCATGGTGTTTTTAATGGCCTCATATGCATGTGAAAGCTGGACACATAATGCCTTCAAATTATGGCACTGGTGAAGAATATTGAATATACCACAGACTGCCAGAAGAACAAACAAATCTGTCTTGGAAGAAGTACATCCAGAATGCTCCTTAGAAGCAAGGATGGCGAGACTTCATCTCATATACTTTGAACACATTATCGGGAGGGACCAGTTCCTGGAGAAGGACATCATGCTCGGTAGAGTAGAGGGTCAGCAAAAAAGAGGAAACCCTCAGTGAGATGGACTGACACAGTGGCTGCAACAATGGGCTCAAGCATGACAACAATTGTGAGGATGGCGCAGGACTGGGCAGTGTTTCATTCTGTTGTATACAGGGTCATTATGAGTTGGAACCGACTCAATGGCACCTAACAATAACTACTTTACCAAGTATGATGTCCTTCTCCAGGGACTGATCCCTTCTGATAACATGTTCAAAGTATGTGAGAAAAAGTCTCACCATTCTCGCTTCTAAGGAGCATTCTGGCTGTACTTCTTCCAAGACAGATTTGTTCGTTCTTTTGGCAGTCCGTCGTATATTCAATATTCTTCACCAGCACCATAATTCAAATGTGTCAATTCTCCTTCAGTCTTGCTTATTTTCATTAGGGTGATGCAAAGTTTCCCAAACATATAAATATAAAGCTATTTTCCCCCAGACAATCTTGGTTTAGAATTCCACAGAACATATTTCGACATGGATTCTTTTGTTGTGTTGTTGAAGTGCACCTTTGGAAAGACCCCGTGTGTTTGAGAGTCAAATTGGTTTCCTTATGGAAGCAGATCACCAGGCCTGTTTTCTTGTACTGTGCCGCTGAGTTGGGTAGAACTGCCAATCTTCTGGTTACCAAACAAGTGGAAACCATTTGTGCCACCCAGGGACCTTATATAGAACATCTTTTGAAAATTGATGTTTTAGACTATCATAATTTTTCTTATACAGATAAAATTTGCTTTATCTACTCCAAAAAGATAGTACATTTATGAAAATATTTCACTTTTAAAGAAATGCCAGAATACTTTTCTCAGGATTCTACCCTAATCAGTCCTGTAAGTTTGTTTCCAGCTACTCATTTCTTTATGATATAAAGCTATTTTTAAAATACATCTTTGCCAGATCAGCAAAGGACAATCAGTTCAACATCAATAAAAAGATTCTAAAGATGGAGCCCTCTAAGGAAAACATTTAAATTTCTTTTGCTCATAGACTAAATATTGCAGAGGCATGATGGCCAATTTCCATTATCTTAGATAAAATTCTCACTTCCAATGAAAAATGAAAAATTAGTTTTTTCTAACTTGACTTAATAATACTTAAGAAATGGATACCACTATCCATTTGGGTCTTTCAGTGTCAAATCCTGCTTTATGAGTGAGACAGATATTTAGCCATCAGTGACAATATTAAACCAAGTTTAGATTTATTAAAGCTTGTCACTACTTATTATAGGCCTTACCATAATTTTTTTGTTATAAACTAAAAACTATAATTACATTTATACTAAAAGCTTACATGGAATTTTGAAAAGTGGAAAAGTCATCAACCTGTGATCCAAAAACAAGAAATCCTAACTGGGCATAAGCAAAGAATATTATAAAAAACATGATGGCAAATCCTACTATGTCCTTGATACAGCGGGACAAGGTTGACGATAGCTGAGACATTGTCTTATTAAAGCTTATGAATTTGAATATCTGAAAAAGAACAAAGTTAATTGAAATAGAAGAGAGAATATCAAAGACTATAATTATTCAGTGTAAGGTAAATTAATTTCAGAAGAAATGTGCTTCAACTTAAAGGAGGTGCTTAATAATAGCCATGGGATGTTTGAGGATTTGCCAGAAATCATTACAAAGCCAAACTCCTTTAAAAATTACTTTACAGTTGACAAAATCCTTTTGTTTTTCCCTAACTTTGTAGTTTAATTTCTCATTATGTCATTACACTATTGTATTATGTAATATAAATATAATAAAATATAAATACCTTTATCCATGCAAAGAAGATGGTAATAGCAATTATATTATTGTAATAAATGTGCCAGTATGCAAGAGAATAGAAGTCTGAATATTTTTCAGTATTTTCCAAAAGCTGTCCAAGTGAGAGAAAAATTTGTATATTACAGTATGTGTTGAAGGAAATGGCCATAAAACATAACTAAATGAGAAAATAAGAAGGGTGAAATTAGAGACTATTTTTACTTCTAAATCTCTTGCAGCCTATGAAGAAACACATGAACAAGTTCATCAGAAGTTTAACAAAAACGTAGGGAGATATCAGACATAGGCTTTTACATAAGTGGAAGTAACCCTCAATTTACAGAAGTTTAAGGTGGCATAATTATAAAGGTAGAAAAATATTGATTGCCTGGCCACCATATTCTGCCTGTTTGTTTCTTTCAGTCACAAATCATAAATGTATTAAAGGATTATATAACTCTGACTAGGCTGTAAGGATTTCTGCACCATGTAAACACATAATACCTAAAAGTTTCGTATATTGCACCAGATATAACACTACAAGAAAATAAATTTACAGTTACAAAAACAAACCATTTTAGAATCCTTTAATAACCCTTTTAGAAGAGGAGTTTAGAGTCAGGTAGCAGAGTTAAAAAACTGTCATAAATTTTTTCCTTTGACTTCCCTTGCTGGAAATACCCAGGTAAACATTTAATTCTATGCCTTATGTTAGACTTTGCTGGGGATAACAGGAGGAGGTGGCACGCTTTTTGACTGACAAACCTTTAATCTGGTTTAGGGAAATAAGGCTTAAATACTGGATTGGCTATAACTAAGGGCCAACAAGGGTAGAAGATCATATTGTATGAGTCAGAAAATTCCTTTATTGACTGTTCCTAAGACTAAGCTCTTACCATTTGTTCCACCCTGCTTACATCTCTGTGTTTATTTCAATATGTTCCAAGGACCAGAACTGGCAGTCTTTGGTTTCTTTCAGAGACTATTCACCAATTCTGGTGCCCTCTGTTCCTACAAGGTATCCTGTGGATGCTCAAATTCCCTGCCCACTCCAGTATTATGCCTGGACTTGTCCTTTGCCTGTTCTTCCAAAATTCAGTGTAAGGAGAAAAGCAGATTTAGGCAACACAGTAGAGCACATTTTAAAGGACCTTGCCCCCAAAAGACATAAGATTGGTGAAACATGAGGCCCTGTGAGGAAAACATTTTTTGAGTAGGGGTGGGGAGGCCTACTGTTCATATTAAAAAATAATGCCTATGGAATCACCTAGTCATCTAGGTTTATCCTTGTTCTCCCGAAGACTAAAAAAACAAAAACAAACAAAAGTCCCACAGCTTCTCCCTTTTGGAAGCACACCATAAGATTGTACTATGACAGAAGTTCATTTTATGATTCATGCTTGTAGCTTTTAAAGTAAGTTTTGGATGAGCAGAAAATCACTGGTGTGTTCAGATGTGACCCCCTTCCACCACATACATGAATATATACTCACCACCAAAAGTAGTAATTCTATCCAGTTCCAAATACTTTTGAAATAGGCAGACTTAAATTCTTTCATTTTTTTTACTTCTTGTGTTGTGAAGACAATGAGAAAAATACAAAATGTGATCTCACAGGAAGCAATAAAATAATCATAGTAGCTAACATATCTGAGGAGCTTCACAGAGTAAAATTGCCATGAAGTAAGTATTCCTCCAGTTGCAGGGAATTCTGCCACCAATCTGTAAAATTAGCTTTGTACAAGTAACTGTATATTTCAAGCATTTATATTTTGGTACTTAACTCAATATAAGTGAATCTTCTAATCAGTGATGACACATATTTTAATAATGATCAGTTATTGTGTACAAAATATGTTTCTTTGGAGTTATGGGTTCATTTAAAATTTTTCCAGTGGATTCACTTATTTCTTAATGGATCCACTTTTTTTTTTTTTTTGAATATCTGAATATTCAAAGTGGTCAAAGACCAATGTAAATGAGGAAATAAGATGTGATTTTAGCCAGACATTCAATCTATTCTGTGTTCAGATTGCTTGTTCAACCGGGAATACCAATTTATCTCCATAGGAAAATGAAATCATGTTCAAGAAAATTCTTATGCTGTTAATTATTGTTATTAGTCAGGACCCCCTACCCCCCATATGTAATTCTTGAATATTTCAGGGGAGGGATACAGGAATACACTCTCCCCTGTAGCTTAGAAGCTTCTTGCTTCTAAATGTCAAGGCCACATATTACACTAAAGCAAACATTTTCTGCTTGCTTTAGTCACTGGATAGTGGGTACAAAGATCCATATGCAAATAGAAGTATAAAAATTAATTTCAACACTAAATAGAAAATGATTTTGAGGTGGTTTACTGGTTTGATCTGTATTTCTGGTGTTCTCTACAACCTTAGATAAGTAAGAATTGGTAGTAATTTAAGGAACCAGCACCTTGACCACAATATAGTTATTCCTACCGAAAGATACTACAAATATTATTGGTACTGGAATAAGGTGCTGAAAAACAAACAAACGAACAAACAACAACAACAAAAAAAACCCAAGCCTAGTTAACAAACAGAACCTAAAACTGTTGCACCTTGTACATATTAGGTGCTCAATACCAGATGAGTGGGTGAAGTGAAAGAAACTCAATATTACGACCTAAAGTTTAGACTAATAAACAAAAAAATGAAACAAACAGATAGTGACTTAGAAAATAATACTGGAATCATTTATTCCCTCTCCTGGAGCACAGAGAATGTGACCCAGCTGGAGCTGGGCTCACAAGGACTCACAAGGACACATCAACTGGGCCCTGAGGTATAAAGACAATAGCTACGATAATCTTGGAAAATATCTTTTAGGGAAACTTTCACATAAAGCCAATCAAACAGAACACAAAAGACTTTCTACTCTTACCTTTTTCTATTAGCATTTAGTGAATATAAATTTGTTGGACCAATGAAGACCCTCCTGTTACTGAAATCTGTACCAATGATTGTTAAGAAAGGCAATTCAAAAAGTAGGATCAGAATTTCTAGCCAGTCTGAAAAGTTAAAGCTTTCAATGGTTTCACCTATTTGTAATGTTAATCTCTGCAACGTTCCTTGGACTCTGGCAGACATGGCTGTGGCAGCATACTTGTCTGTTTTCCCATTCTTGCCTGTTCTGTAATATTCTTTGGACTCAGGCAGACATGGCTGTTGGCAGCATGCTTGTTGATCTCCCACTTTTGCCTTTTTGAATATATGATTCTTTGGACTCAGGCAGACATGGCTGTGGCAGCATGCTTGTCTGTTTTCCCATTCTTGCCTATTCTGTAATATTTCCTTGGATGTGGGCAGACAGGGCTATGGCAGCATGCTTGCCCATTTTCCCACTTTTGTCTGTTGTGTCATATTTCCTTGGATTCAGGCAGACATGGATCTGGCAGCATGGTTGTCTGTTTCCCACTTTTGCCCCTTTGAATACACGCTGAATAAAACTTTCTTTCTTCTTTACTAAACTTTGTGATGTTTTTCCCCTACAACAACAGTATTCTGTTTAATTTGCTAGATGTGAACACAAAAAGAAAAATAAATGGGTAAGATCTCAGTGTACAAATACTGATTAGATATATTAGCCAGGTAACAGTTTCAAAATTTGAAGTTTCTAAAAAATAACATTTTGAAAGGTAACACAGAATAAGCATAAAACCTAGAGACAGGAAATCTGGACCTAACCTGGTATTACCAGGAGTTCTTCATATGCTTTTGAACCAGTGCTTCCATTTTTATTTAGGGCATAAAAATGATTTTGTGCTCTTCATTTTATCCTGATAAAAACTATTGTGATGGGTGAATGATGTTGGTAAAAAGCTCTGATTCCCTGAGAGAAAAGTAACGACTATAAAAGGTATAATTCCACTGGCTGCTATAGGTAGTTCATTTGTTTTATTCATTTTTACAAATTTTAAAGGACATGGTTGTGTTTCACTGTTAACTGTTGCACAAGGGAAAATCCCCTAGTTAGTTGTTGTTGTTAGGTGCTGTCCAGTCGGTTCTGACTCATAGTGACCCTCTGTACAACAGAACAAAACCCTGCCCGGTCCTGAACCATCCTCAGAATTGTTGTCATGGTTAAGCCAATTGCTGCAGCCATTGTGTCAATCCATCTTGTTGAGGGTCTTCCTCTTTTTCAGATGACCCTCTATATCACCAAGCATGATGTCCTTCTCCAGGGACTGATCCCTCCTGATAACATGTCCAAAATATGTGAGACGTAGTCTCCCCATCCTTGCTTCTAAGGAGCATTCTGGCTGTACTTTTTCTAAGACAGACTTGTTTGTTCTGGCAGTCCATGGTATACTCAATATTCTTCTCCAACACCACAATTCAAAGGCGTCAATTCTTCTTCAGTGTTCCCTATTCATCGTCCAGCTTTCACATGCATATGAGGCGATTGAAAACACCATGGCTTGGGTCAGGTGCACCTTAGTCTTTAAGGTGACGTCTTTGCTTTTCAACACTTTAAAGAGGTCTTTTGCAGCCATTTGCCCAATGCAATGCGTCTTTTGATTTCTTGACTGCTGCTTCCTTGAGTGTTGATTGTGGATTCAAGTAAAATGAAATTCTTGACAACTTCAATGTTTTCTCCGTTTATCATGATGTTGCTTTTTGGTCCGGTTGTGAAGATTTTTGTTTTGTTTACATTCAGGTGTAATCCATACTGAAGGCTGTGGTCTTTGATCTTCATCAGTAAGTGCTTCAAGTCCTCTTCACTTTCAGCAAGCAAGGTTGTGCCATCTGCATATCGCAGGTTGTTAATAAGTCTTCCTTCAATCTTGATGCTGTGTTCTTCATATAGCCCTGATTCTTAGACTATTAGCTCAGCAAACAGATCAAGTAAGTATGGTGAAAGGATACAACCCTGATGCACACCCTTCCTGACTTTAACCATAACGTATCCCCTTGTTCTGTTGGAATGACTGCCTCTTGAGCTATGTACAGGTTCCTTATGAGCACAATTAAGTGTTCTGGAATTCCCATTCTTCTCAATGTTATCCATAATTTGTTATGAT